AGGTAACAAAATTTGTCCAGCCTAAATAACCTTGAATTAAGTAATGGACCAAACTCAACCGAGCCTAACCATGTTATATGGGTTAGCTGAGACCATTCAAATCATCAATCATTAAACTTCGAAGAAAAAAAAATTAAGATCTTTAATTCTATTTCCATGCCCTAAATTATAAAGTCATTTATTATATTATATTACCTTATTAAAAGTAAAACAGTTTTCTTTCATTTAGTTCAATCCAAACTAAGTTTAATACTTATTAACGACCCCAGGGGTTCAACCTATGTGTAGTCAAACCAATCTACACAAGTTTTTAACTCAACCTAACTGAAAAATTCATCAGGCTTTTGGACATTCCTACACACCACTATTACTAAGAAATCCAGATTCCTTCCCATTCCTATAAAAGAGGAAGCAGGGAAATCACATGCAGACATTTTCCTCTTCTAGCATCTCAAGAATTTAAAATATGCTCATTTCAATGAAAATTATCTACAAAGCACTGTACTTCCCACGTTACATTCAATTCATAAAAACCTCAAATACAGTAGAGAGTAATAACCACCTACTTCACAGATGGAAAGGATAGTCAAATGGCATCCATCATCACTAACCTCCTTGTCTCTGAAAAAGTCCTCGCCATAAAGCTTAAAAATTTCAGCCACTGAAGTTCCACCAACTTCTTGCTCCACCAATGTATCACTGGAGCATCCAGATATGTAATGCATAATTAATATGAAAGCAAATCACTCGCAAGAAACTTACAATAACATAATTGTGCTCAAGATGAAGACAAATTATAAATGCCATAATTTTCTATCAGAAAGAAAAGTAAAAATTCATATATTGGATGTTAATGCAAATCCAATTTATTGCATCAGAAGCTGCAACTCTTCACTAAATTCATTCAACTACAATAGTCCTCAATATCACTTTAGTACAATAGTCCCCAGTTCAGCTTCGTAGTAGACCTTGGATGCGGGAAAAAAAGATGTGACAGTGAGGAAATTGGGCAATAATTTTTCTTCCAATATAATCATTATTTCCTTGTTTATTAAACTTCAAGCCGGAGTACAAGTACTTTGCTAGTTAGCAATTAAATAACAACCTGTCAGAAAATGCGTAACTCAATTCTTTTGCTAAAATCTTGCCTATGGTTGTCTTTCCACTGCCCATCATTCCTGCAAATGAGCACTTTGATAGATTTAGTATCCAAGCAGAAGAATGGCCAATTACAAAGTGTAAAAAAGAAAAGACACTAACCGACTAGATATATGCATTTTCCATTAAGATGGGGCTGGACCTCTTGTGACTTATTCTGCAATATTTCCAAACTCTAGTTAGATAAACTTTAAGAGTTGCACATTTGAAGGTTCAAATTGCACCAATTATCTTCCAAAAGCTATTTAAGGAAGGGGAGAAGAGTATATTCGATGAATCAGAAAGAAAAGCAAATATCCCACGTCACCCCAACTCTCCTTGAGATTTAAGTAAATATAACAAACAAGAATTCTGCTTGACCTTTAAAAGTAGATCTTTGTCAAAAGGATGAAAATTTTCAGTTTCCAATGCCAAACCTACAAAAGGAATATTGGAAAGCAATAAGTCAAAATCAATTGGTTACCTTCTTCCTTGCTTGCTGTAGTCAAGCAAGAGGAAGACAATACGATACAGATTATTCATCATTCATGACAACAATGAAATAACAAAATAAAAGGCATGTCTTTCTAATGACAACAAAGTCACTAATGGTATCTATCTACAAGATGATGTAAAAAAATGTGGATCTTTTCTGCGTAGTACTTCTCCTTCAAAGATTTGAAGGGTTCAGATGCTCGAAAGTCCGACAGAAGAACATCTAAATAAAGTACTTACTCACTGAGAGATCGGTTATAATAACAGGGAGGATCAATTGCTGAGATGCATTTTTCAAGGATTTTATACACCAAGTGTGAGACCATTTTATACATTATCCATTTAATCACCTAAAAAATCACTACAGCAAATTTTCATTTCTTTGAAATGAGTATCATTTTCTTTTATTCTCGTTCCTTTTGTTTACTTAGAATAAAAGGTCGTTCTTAATTCATTGGCCAAAACAAGATGTTGAGGTTTTCAGAATGCAAAAGGTTCCGTTAATCAACAGAAACAACTCTACAAATCATTTGGCCGTAGACGTAGCATAAGACTGCTTTTATACTGTGTAGTTCATGCTTTTCATAATGTTTTATTATTAGTAGAAATGCAAAATTAAATTAGGACAGAAAATGGACGCAGAGGAATTTACCAAAAACTCTTTTTAGAATCCAAATAACTGTACCTTCTCGTAAGGAAACAAAAAAACAAAATCCAAATATTAGATTTGAAGTTCTGACTACAAATCAAGCTCAGCCATGAAAAACAATAGAAGCATATATTATAGATTCAGTTCCGATCACCAAGTCAATAATAGTAAATGAGAATATAACTCAGAAAATATTTGAAGGAATTAACGAAAGAAAGAAACGAGGAAAAATGACAAAGAAAAACGCACATTTATAATCACGGTGGAAGTTCAATATCTTGTATTACCTGAAATATTCTCACGATAGCAGGAGGCCCCAACAGAGATCGTCCTGCATCGATTCGAAAGTCTCAAAGGTTGCTGAAAAGCTGAAACCACCGGTGGCAGCTTCTGCTGTTTAGAAATTGGGAGAAGAAATCGGACCGAACCACTCGGTTTCCTCACAAACATTCCGGAATCAATCCGGATTGATAAATTCTGCAGATGTCCTACGTTGACCGTCATAGTCGCTGCCAAAATTCCCTCAGTTTCTCAGCTAACTGGATTAGATAACCACACACGACCTAAAGTTTCAATTGAACATCAATCACTCAAGAGAATTAGATTTAAAAGAGTGAAAGTGAATAAAAAACTGCAAAATAATTATTATCAGAAACAAAATATAAAAATTCAAATCAACGCCAAGTTGCATTACAGAAACATCAAATCGTAAGAAAGCTCGAAAAAATAACTAGGAAAAACGGTTCAAACTCTTTCAGAAGGAACGAAACTTACAGACAGAGTAGAGCTTCAACGATCAAACTCAAGAAATTTTGCAACTCCAAACCAGTAAAAAAGATCGGATGCCGTGAAATTATTTGGAAACAAATGAGAGCACAAACTCAGTGAAAGTCGCGTAGCACACCACAATCACAAAAAGGCAAGCAAAACAGGATGAAGAATGTGAGAATCAAAACCAAAAGAAGGGCAAGAGGTGACAAATTTCTATGCACATGTGGTTCTGGAAGAGAGGTTTCAAGATCACCGGCACGAGTATCGAATTTGGTGCGCGCTATAACTGTTGTCGCTCCGGCTCTGCCAGAAATTCAAACAAACCGCCATAAGAAAAGTAAGAAATTTGTGGGATGAATTATGCTCATATTTATATTAAAATAAATAACACGTACCCTAATCCACGAAATTAAATTCTATTCTATTGCCAATTGACACCAACTTTAGTTGATTAAATATCTGTCGCCACTTTTTCAAGTCAAAATTTTAATTTTAAATCTGTATTAAAAAAAATATCTTATTGTTTGATTCAACTTCCAATAAAAAAAATTAAATTTATAAGGTTACTATATTATTATATAATTCAACCCGTTAAATTATTATCAACTAAAAATTAAAAATAATAATATTTTTTTAAAAAAATCATTCTATTCAATATTTTCATTAGCTAGTAACGGTTTTAGCTATATTTAAGTTTTTTCAAGAGAATATTTAACTTTTTTTAAAGAAATGAATATGTTGCAGTAAAATATTAAAATTCCTCCCGTGAGTCTAATCTACATTTAGCTTTTACTGTACGGTAAATATTTTAGAATTGACAAGAAAATGGGGGATATTTAAGTAATAGTCATTTGTTTTTATTTTTTTTCTTGTATTTTTTAAAATTAAAACAATCGTTTTATTTTCTGAAAAAGGGATGGGGCCGGAAATTAATGGGCGTGGTTGGTATGTCGGGCAGTTGGCTTCTCGGGAGTAGGTTTCTGTACTTCAAAATCTAGCTTCTAATCTTGCCACGTGTCAAAATATAATTTTTAGAATTTTATTTAATATTTTGATTTCTTGGGTGCTTTTTAAAGGTTTGTTTTAATCTTTATGATTTTTACTTTATTCTTACCTTTTTAAAAAGTGACCAATTTGACTTTTATTTGTAAAATTTAATGCTAAATTTTAGGCACGATGGAAAACACTTTAATACGGAATCTATTTCTATCATTTATTTCCATTTTGTTTAAAAAATTTTAATACACAAATTCCCAAAAAAAAAAAAATATATAGTAATTCAAGTAAACTATCTCTTATAGATAGTTGAATCAAATAAATTTTCCTATCACTTCATATTTTCATGTTAATCATTAATAGGTTATTTGTACATCTATCATTGATTTGGTTTTATGTTTTTATATTTTTATCCTAATTGAGTCCTAGATATAACAAAAGCACCAATTCATTACCTCTCTATTACGTCCAAATAAAATATGTCCTATGCTAAAAGATTAACACATTAAAGACATCGATGACTAAGAGATTTAACTAATCCAAAGAGCCTACCATTAAAATTTTGAAACAATAGATTAAATTGAAACACTAAATTAATAATTTGACCTAAATTCAACTATACTTCCTAAAAGGTATAATATAACTAGATTGTTGGTATGTTAGGTCGAGAGAAATGTTCATCTATGAAAGAGTTGGTAGCTTCTAAAGTTTGAGCATAAAGTCTATTTGTTTGGCCCTTTTCTCAGTTATAGTTGGAAATAAAAGCTATTTTACCTACCCTTTTCCAATCACACCTACCACCACCAGGCCCCCACCACTCTTTTTTCCACTCGAGACCAACAAAGCAACTACCAAAAACAGCAATGTAAATTCTGTTTCTTTGTCATTTTATCTTTACTTTTTTAACATGTTACAGCAGATTTTTCATGAAGTAGTACCAACAAAGTTCATCTAGACCCAATGCATTTGTTTACATTTCCTCGAAGTTTTTCAACAGATTGATTCAAGGCAGAATTAATGAAACAGAGGCAGCTACAGGCAAGAACAAAGGCATCGAACGAAATCCAAAAATATAATACAATTGTACAGTTTCTAAGCAGCAAGACAAATAAAGGACGATAGAGGTGTCCGTACAGAAGTAATTAGTACAATGACATTTCAACTTACAAGTGGGCCTGCTGCAAAGGTCTTCAAGACTATTTCAGGCTTTCACGCAGCAGTTGAAGTAGCTTAGAATGCTCTTTCTTGGCTGGCAAAACAACCAAAAATATTTGTACAAATCATCAAAAAATGAACACAATTTACCATACATAATAATAATAATAAAAATTAGGTCCCACTGTTAATTTGATAAGATGTAATATCTACATGAAATTAAAAAAGATGGGTGCACTAGTTCAAACAAGTTTGAGCCCACGTGTTGAGATTTGGGTAAGACCCCAAATCTCGAGCTAGAGGTTTGGCTCCCCAGTTTTGGGCCGGACGTTCAGTTTACAACTTCATACAACTTCAACTCCACTGAACTAGCCCAGGCTTTTTCAACTAAATACCGGGACACAGATTTCATAACTTCATGGCTTCATATTCATTGCAATAATATGAGAAACAACCCACTACCGAAGACCGAAAAAGGGGCTAAATTTTGAAGCCATTATAATATCAACTGAGTTAGTCACTAGTTTGACTAAATATGAAAACAAATAAAGTTTTAAAAAAGCATACTTCTAACTAGGTAAAAATATCTAAATGGCTAAACCAATTACGATCCAAAACATGATTAGGCAAGCCAACCAGCATCTCATCTATCCAAATTTAGAAGTTAGTTTGTACAAAGTAATTAATGTCGTATTCTGTGGACAACTGTTCTTTGTTTAATGCGAAGAGAAAAAAACATATGGATAATGAAAGATACACATCAATGAAACATACAAAGAGTGGTCCAGAAATTATCACTATAAAACAACGCATACACTAATTACTCAACTACCCTTTATTTAGCTTTAATTGAAACTGGAAGAAAATAAGAATAAAAATCATTAGACATTGACATAAATTAGAATATGTCCTTTGTAAGGAAAATCTCTTCCCCATGTAAGAAAGAAAAGAAAACCTGTTTGGAAGTTCCTCAATATGAAATAGGATTTACTATCCCAGCTTCAATCTATGAGAGATATGGCAACAAACACCAGATGAATGCACACCACTTATTCTTACTAATGGGCTAGGTGCATAGAGGACCCCGCTCCCAACTTGTTTCCACAAACCTAACTTGAAGTCAATATCACTAATCACACTACCCACATAACATCTAAACGATCAACAAGAATCACGGCCCGTGACTGGTTCTTTATGTATGCTGAATAACCTAAAATTCCGCCTTCAACTGAGCTGACTACTAACATTATGGACAAATGCATTCTGCTTCTTAAACAATTTATTTCAATCTTTCTCCAATCACCAATCGGTTTTATTGTTCTTGTTTAAATTTTATACCCTGAAACAAGGCATTACGAACGTTGTTAACATTAGCAAAGACTAAATGAGAATTCTCTTCCCAAAAGCTGAAGCAGGCATGAAGCATGTTTCACTTCGCCAAAATAATCTAACCTTCTAAATAATCCAAACAATAAGACAATATACAAAGTAGCAAGTTTGTTAAGTCACTCAGATCTTTATTCGTAATATATACATGTAACTACAGGTGTCAGAAAAATTACCTCATCTACAACATTTAAGGTAGGAGATCTGATATCCAAGGAAATAAAACTTTCATTAGCTTATTCATCATAAAATTAGATGACACTTCAGGAAAGTGTCTTTTGACCTTGAAACTTTTGGGTTTATATTGATATTGATTTTTCCACAATCAATAGCTGTACCCACGAGTTAATGGATAATAGCAGGCAGCATGGACCCACAGGCACAGACAACACATGTAACCCAACCCAACCGATTCTTCGGTTGACCAAACGGTATGTGCATAAGAGCATGCAAGTCACTATCAGACAATCAAAAAATTACCAATATCAAATTTGAGGTCGGAGGAGCAATAATCTTACTGGTGAAGGATGCTGACTCTGACGATAGGAGTGATGGTTTTCAGCGGGGAAAGAGTCTGTTGTGGTTGGGGGAGCGGCTGGGGCAATGAGCTCCTCTTCATTTCCAAGACTCGCCCGGGACACGTCTCTCTTGTTTTGTTTCCTATTTTCCCTAATTTTTGAGAAATCAAGAGAGTAGTCTGGCATCTGTCCCTTCTGGTCCCAATCTCCAAACTGTGGAACTGAAAGCCAGGGAGCAGTTTTCTGCAGAAAACAAAAGTAACGTATCTCGTTGAAGCCAAGAATGTCAGTTACATTTCAGATTCTTTTTTTTTTTTAAAAAAAAAAAAGACAATACCAATTAAACACTCTACAGCTATTCTATTTTATAGAAGTAACAGATTTATTCTCACCAAAAGCACACACCACATCAGATATTTGCAAAATAACCTCTCATTGTCCAATTCATTCTCGACTCTCATTAGCATTCGCGAAATAACATGAGCTGAATATCGGAAATTGACCATTTTAGGATTTTCTTTTATCCGTTGCCAATTTAGTATCTTATTAGAGCCAACAAATTCCTTCTCCCAACTTTTTTATGAATCAAATTAAAGTTCGTTATCTGTGGAGTATAATAATTGGATAAGTTTTTCAAATTTCAAAGTCAGGACAGCAACTTTTCTAAAATTTATTTTTTTAGTCTTCGAAACATGCTAAAATATAAATAAACAAACAAAAAGTCAATAGTTGAAATAGAAGAGCAGCTGAAGAAAATTCATCGCCTAAAGCGTTGAAGTTTGGCAACCATAGGAATATAATTGTCGAGAGGATGGAAGTAAAAGTTGGCAGGTTTGACTGTTTCCCAGCTTAGAAAAAGTAACTTGATTGCCTCCGCGAATTAACCATAAACGGTTAAGAAGCAAAAGCATACTGCCAAATTCTCTCGTAACAAAATACAAACGTCAAAATCCAACCAAGGTAGCGAACTAATCAAATTAATTTTCTGAATCTTATAAGCAAAGTGAGAAATTTCAACCGAAAAAAGGCTGACATAGAAGAAAAAAGGAAAATCAAATCTAAAATTTCATACAAGAAAACAAAAATATATATATGTGCACGTTCGAGATGAAATGTCAGCGATGACTACGCTGAATAGAAACAAATAACAGAGCAACATTTCAACTCAATTCACAGTTTGACCAAACAAAAAGAATACTACTAATTACGAGATTCTGATGCTTATACGCTTGTTTTCCTTAGGCGAGGTTGAAAACCAAAGTAACAACAATCTAACCTCTTCAAGAATCACGCTGAAATAATCAACTCAGATCAATAAATTTATGCATTTCCTCTCTTATGCAAGCAAATAACGCAACGATCAAAACGAAACCCTAAGATTTTCTTAGCAGAAACAAACATGAACAAAAATAGAGCAATAAGCATGAAAAAGAGAAATCACACAAGCAGCAAAGCAAAACAGAAAGAAAAACGACCTCCTTCCGATCATCCATGGTAACAGCAGCAAGTCCTCACTTCACAGAACGACGAAGAACACCAGACGAAAAGAAGCTTTTCAAGTTCGAGTTCTTCTTTACTCTACGGAGAGGATTGAGAATGAAAACGAAGAGCAAAAGCAAAGGAGGAGCACCGGGAAATGACACTAGAGTTGATATATTCTTCTTCTTCCGATAAAAAAAAAAATAATAATAATAAACTAAAATTGGAAATGAAGGCTCTGTCGAGTCTTTATAGGCCTCCGAATAGACGATAATGGAGCTTTGCGTGTTGGAATATTACGATTATGCCACTACGGCACTGGTCTTGGCTGTTTCAGTGCGGCCTTCGCTGGTTCTCAGGCTTTTACAGTTGTACATTAAGCCTTAATTATCGAGACGCTTACGTGGATTGCAATCATTGGGCACGCCAAACGACGACGTTTTATTTATTTTCAAATAAAATTGGGAATTTTTATGAGTAAATAAAATAATATATCGAGTTTTATTAAAAAAAAATTAGGATTTTGTCTTGCCACCTCATTAACATATTTAAACTTCTACTAAAATTATGACATTTATTTTAGAAGTGGCAAAATAGACAATTGACTTTTATTTCTCATGTAATCCAAAATTTAATTCTTATGGAAATTACAATAATAGACACTGTGACTTTTATTTTTTTATAAAGTGATATTAAATCTTCATTAAATTATTATTCTGGAATAAAAAAAATAATATGTTTGTAAATTGTATAATTTCTATATGATTCATTAAACTAAAATTATTAGTTTATTGCTGAAATAAATTATAACATTTCAATTTCTAGAAAATACAGGAAAAAAAAAACTTTTGATTTTTATGCGAATTTTTAAATTAAAATCTTTTTATTTTCACTCTTTGTTTAAAGGTTTTTCTTTATATTCCTTTAATTTAAATAGTTATTTATTATGATAAACAATATTTTAATAAACCTTTATTTTACATTTTTTTGTTTCGTACGTATTTAAATAATAAATATTGTACTAAACAATATTTGAATAAAAATTCTGAACTATCTATCTATTGGAATTTGATATTTATTTTTTAAATACACGCTATTTTGTATTTATCTTTTTTTTAAGTGACTGCCGAAATTTATCAAACATATTAAAAATAAAATAAAATTTATAGCTTAAAGTTAAGATAAAAAAAAACAGATGAAAAATAAATAATTGAAGAAATAACAAAAGTCTAATAATTTGGATGTGTGAATTATACACGTAGGAAAATGACTAATTAAATAGAAAAACATAAAATCTAGATTATTGGATAGCAGAAATCAGCGAATAAGGTAACACGTGGCTGAGCCTATTGGATGTAACAGACCATGGAAAGCTTCCCAACCCAACGGGCACCACAAAACTCATAATTGACTAATTGGGCTTTATTCTATGGCCAACACATCATATGTCTAGTTTTGATATCATTTGTAATCGCTCTCAATTCTATTTATTTTTTTTGGTTTGTTAGGTATTGTAGACAGTATTTGTTAGCGGTGAGTTTAAACTGTTACTAAAACAACGCATTTTAAAATCATGAGACTAACGACAATACGTAACGAACTAAAGTAGATAATATCTACTCCTAGTGGACTTGAACGGTTACAAATAGTATAAGAGTTAGGCACCCAGGGAGGATGAATTATGAGATCTCACATCGGTTGGAAAGGGAAACGAAACATTCCTTATAAGGGTGTGAAAATCTCTCTCTAATTGACGCATTCTAAAACTATGAGTCTGACAAAGATATGTAGTTCTGCTAAGCGGGCAAGACAGACAATCATTAATTGTCCACACTTTATTAGGGTTGCACGAAAAAAATTGAAAATCCCTTTTAAACCGATCAAAAGCTTCGCTAGTTCAAGTTAACACTGGTTTGGTTTGGATTGGCTATTTGAGTTTGTTTATAAGAAAACTGGTTAGACAACCTAAAATACTTCAATGCACGCAATATTGCTCCATCAGGCTTTCGCCCACTGTGGAAAATTCCCCACTGCTACCTCTCGCAGGAGTCTAAGTCGTGTCTCAGTCCCAGTGTGGTTGATCATCCTTTCGGACCAGCTATTGATCATCGCCTTGGTAAGTTATTGTCTCACCAACTAACTAATCAAACGCAACGAGTTGAGGAGTAATGTGATTGTTGATATCTAGGTGTATACGCACTGGCCATATGGGTTTCTCCACCAAAGTTCGCCGAGGAGTAGAGTGACGTACCGGCGCGACTAATTGAGTGTCACATGATCATACAATAAACATATCTATTCCCAAAAAAACGTACCATAGAATTCAACATTGAAATTGAACATCTCTAAAAGTCTATAAAATTTATTATATCCATTAAACCAAAACACTCCCATCTTTTATTTTTTATACTAACTTATTTTGAGTACACAAACATAATTATATGCACCCAAATCCAAACAACCTCCTTAAAAAACAATCGTTCGTTCATGCCCATCTCTTACAAACCCTAACCCTAAACCCACAGTTCATATGAAGAATCACAGAAGGAGCTGGAGTGACAACCTTATCATCATCGACAGCTTCAATGTCATAGTTATGGATAATGGCAGCCGACACGATCTTCAGCTGAGAAAACGCTACGCTTTTCCCCAAGCAAGTCCTCGGTCCAGCATTAAAGCTGAAGAACTTATACGACGGCTCTCTTTTAATCGCCCCTTTCTCCGTAATCCACCGCTCCGGTTTGAATTCCTCGCAGTCCTCTCCCCAGACAGACCTCATTCTCCCCAATGCGTATAGCGAGAAGAGGATCATCGTGTGCGGCTTCACGTGGTGGCCGCTCGGCAGGGTGTCGGCTTCCGCCGCAGATTTGTGCTCGAAGGCTATTGGAGGGTGGAGGCGAAGCGTCTCGCATATGGCGCCGTGCAAGTACACTAGGTTGCTGAGCTCTTCATTGGCGAATGTTCTTTGTTGTGGGATTGTTATGCTATTGAGTTCTTGTCGGATCTTTGCTAATATGATGGGGTTTTTCGAGAGGATGTAGAAGAGCCAGGAGAGGGTTACGCTGAACGCGTCTCGGCCTGCGATCATGAAGTTTAAGACCGTGTCTCTTAAGAACTTGTCGTTGATATCGAGTTCGTCGTGTTCGTTGATCATATACCTGTCATCCATGCATATAAAAGGTTAAATTTTTCTTGATTTTACCTATGATTTTTTGAATTTTGGTGTCGTTTAATATAATAATAGGTAGAGATGTTTAATAAACCTGAAAATTCTCCGGATAGAGGAGTAAAGAGAGATTTTTATTGTTGTCTCTTTCATAATAGTCAAATTTTAGTAATATTATTGAATTTATTAAAATATTTGATTTTTTTAAAAAATATATAAAAAGATGGAGAAGAATTTTTATAATTTTACAAAGAAAATCTTAGTAAAAATATATTGAAATAGATGAGAATTGAAATAGAAGTTTGGATCGAGTGTAATAGTTCAAATTTAATTATCTTTTTAGGCGTTTCTTCCTCTCAAGATTTTTAAAATGTGTCCTCACTCGCACACCATCGGTGTCTACCCCCTTCAGGGCTCAGCATCCTCGCTAACACATTGTTCAATGTTCATCCCCTTCAAATCTCAGCATCCTCGCTGATACACCATTTGATGTCTGGCTCTTTACCATTTGCAAGAAGAAAATATAAATATCACAAGGATAATATTTGCTAACAGCGAGCTTGGACCGTTACAAATTGAACGAGTGTCAGCGAGAACGCTAAGCCCTGAAGGGGGTGGATTTTGAGATCCCACATCGGTTGTGGAGAAAAAAAATAAAGCATTATATGTAAGGGTGTAGAAACCTCGAATCTTGAGAGGAAGCCTAAGAGGGAAAGCTCAAAAAGATAATATCTTCTATGAGTGTACTTGGACGGTTAGATTGAGAATGAAAATTGAAATATAGGAGAGGGAGAGGGAGAGGGACAAGAAACACTTCCCCGTCCATTTGGTTAACTATTATGAGATCTCAAATTGATAGGAAAAGAAAACAAAGCACACATTTTAAAACTTAAAAAACGACCATACTGTTAGAGATGTTATATAAAAGTTTAAGATTCAAAATAAGATTTAAGGATACCATGTGATCAAATCAGCACCACCATCATGTAGTTCTTCCTTTATCTCTCGATCTCGATTCAAGCGCTCTGTTTTAACAGCCAACAAATTAGCAATAACATGATCGATCGTCTCAGCAGCCTTTCTCATCCTCTTAGCCTCGCCAATGTCAAGCTTCTTCATCAACTCCCAATACATTTTGGGGTACAAATGCCTTAGAAACAGCACTTCTTGAACATCATCCATAGCCTTAGAGAACGGAATTTCAGGGAACTCAAGGCACAAACTATTAAGATCAAACCCAGTAACCATCATACAAGTAGAATCAAACGCCAATCTCAAGAACAGATCTTTCAAATCAACCACTTCCCCATTTTTGCAATAAAACTCCAGCACCGGAATCAGCCCTTTCTCCACCTTTTCCCGAGCAGCTCCGGCCATGAACTTAAGAAATTTCTCATGAACTATCAAGGACTGAGCCACTCTGCGTTGGTTCTTCCATGAATCGGCGTCGGAGTTGAAAATTCCATCGCCTAGAACCTCGAAAATGTACTTGAATTCGGACCCTTTTGGGTATTTTTCGAAGTGGGTGCTCATAATGTGGTGGATATTTGCGGGATCGACGGTCATTAAGAACCCTGTTTTGGTGAACCAAATGCCTTTGAAGTGGAAAGTGCAGCCGGTGACCTGTAGGATTTCGGTTATACGGTCGTGGATTCGGTGGATATTGGCGATGACGGTGGGGATCATTCCCAAAATGGGCCAATTCCAAGGAATCCCATGTGGGTTTCGTTTGTGAAACAGAGAAATGAGGATGAAAATCAGGGGAAATGAGGCGAGGAAGATGGGTAGAAGGTCGAGAGATGCCGCCATGGGAGAGGTGTGGGTGGAGCTAATTCGTTGTGTATTTGGCTTCTTCTTAACTTGATCTGTGTTGTTATTTATAATAATGGAGTGGATGAGATATATCTATTAAATTCCGTCTATATCCAGAAAAAAAGATATAGATTCGTTTGGAATTTTAAAATTATGTTTATTTGGTTCGGGTACATGAAACTGTGACTTTTCAAATGTGGAAGGAGACTAGGACTTTAACTACGTGCCTCTGGTGATTATAGGCAGTGGCTTGGTCAAGAGAACTCACTAGAGTCATAGTGAAAGCTAGTCTTCATAGGGCACTTGTCATGGCTTATGGACCTGAACTTGAGTGGTGATCTATCCAGGACCAAGATGAAGCTTAGGTGAAATTAAGTGAGGTCTTGAAGTGGTGAAATGTCACTTTGAACCCAGAGTTGGCTAGTTCTCCTTAAAATAGGTTGAGGACTTTTTCCAAAGCTTTTTATTTGTTTTAATAGGTTCTTGTGGTTTAGGCTGCCAATTATAACCACAAAACGCTCCATTTCCATTTCAGTTGTAGCTTAATGAGTCATAAAATGTTTGCTTGGGTTCTATTTCTTTCTAAAATTTGGTATGGTAGATACTATTTGTAATGGCGCAAACCCACCGTTAGCATAGGAGTAGCATAGGAGGGTTTAGCCTTACTCTAACCAGTGTCTTGCACAGTCTAGTAACTAGCTCTTATACCATTTGTAACAGTTCAACTCTATTGCTAATAGATATTGTCTGTTTTTTCTCGATACATATCACCATCAGCCTCACAATTTTAAAACGTGTCTTCTAAGGGAGGTTTTTACATCTTAAGAAATATTCAGTTCCCCTCCTTCAGGTATCTCATACATATTTTATGACATCGGCTTATTAAACTCAATTCATGACCGTTTAGAAACTAAGTTTATAAATCAAATTTAAAGTTAAACTAAATTCAATTATCGGGTAAGGATATAACTAAAAAGAGAAATAAATTGAATTAAAATTCCAACGGTAAAAAGGTAGGGACAAGTGGTGTTACCGACGATGACGGTGACAGGTTTTTTTTTTTGGGAGCAAAACATACCCGAGACAATCACTTTAATATTTGCTGAAGGGAGAGCGAGTAGAAGGGGGAATGGGCCAAGGAATACCTTAAGATTTCCCAACCACCACAACTATTAAATTTAATAATTTCTTGTTATTTAAAAGTGTATAATAAATTCATACCATTTTTACCTTAATCTACCCAGCTGTTTAAAAAATGAAATCAAAATTTCAAAACTATAAGAAAATAGTTAAGGAATGTGAAATTTCCAAGGAAAAAAAATGGGAAAAAATCAATCTCGATATTAATTTTCAAAATTCCCCCTAAGATTGGTTCATTGTTACGTGGATGTCTCGAGAGTTTTAGGAGTAATGCCGACCTCTAAGAATATATGAGGAAGATATCCAAAATGAATGAGAGTATGGGGAAGTGGTGTTACCCGCGATGACGGTGACAGGTTCCATGGATGCAAATTGCAAAACCGAAACATAACCACCTCTGACATCATCCACTTGAGCTTCTTACCATAACTCTGACCATCATGTTTCCATTAATTTGGACAAGCAACCCCATAATATTTGCCAACAACCACACTCCCACCATTAAATTTATTTTTAATTGGGTACCCAAAATTTTTTTGGTTATGGGATTGAGTATGAACAAAATCCACCCTCCAATCCAATTCTTGTTATTTACTAATTAATGTATTTAAAATTACATTAATTAAAATCTCATATTACACTATTACATCGTAATTTCAAAAATTTGAGGTTAGTAATTCTAAAAATTTGAGGTTATTAGGTGTTATATATCATTCTACTTATTTATATTAGTAATAGTTAGACGTGCCACATCTTTATTACATTGTAAAAATGTGTAATAATTTTTAATACATCATCGTAACTATTATATAAATCCAAATCTTTTAAAATACATTAACTAAATCTTTTAATACATTTGAAACACATTTGTAATTAAATTACTTCTAATACATTCTGTAACACATTTGTAACTAAATTACGGAGTATACAAAGAGGTCATAGGATTCCCCGCCTACTCATCATTCAACCCCTCAAAAAGGTTAGCCCCTATGTTAGGAGCTCACCTAATAATTTAACCCCTATTTAAATTTTTACTTTTTCAATGGAGTTATTACATAGATCCCTCTATACCTACACTCCTATAGAGGTAGGGCACCAGATATTGACCACCAGTGCATGCAACGTTCAAGGGCCCAGGTACGACGCTGAAGAGGGCATTAATAGGCTAAAAAAGATGCAAATAGTTAAGTGGGATGCAAGCAAAATCATAGTGAACGTTGCTTAGTTATACAAAACCGTTGGTACTATTGAGTTGTAGGGGTGCGCACCTGGCCCGAGAAATAGTGCAACGCTTGGTCGACGCTCGAAGACCCCTCACCCCGGTAGAAAGCTACCGTAGTGGACCCGCACACAGAAAAAGTTAATATAATATCATGTGGGCCGATGGCCCACGATAAGAATAGATACTACACATGATATTAGCCAAAAGGCTGAGAACGTCACAAGTTAACTAGCAATAGCTTCTCCGTATTTATAGCGTCTTCTCACTCCTTCATCGCGGAATTGGGCGATGTGGGACAAAATCAAGTTGGTCCTCTTGCCCACCAACCCCAAGTCCATTTGAACTTGTTTTTTCAATTTTTTGTTTTTTAATTACATAAATAATGCTTAATATTTTAAGAGCTTCAATTTTACACTTCTAATGTTATTTAATATATATATATCCAATCAAATACTCGTTGGATGATGAAAGTCACATCGACTAATTTAGGGATGATCATGAGTTTATAAGTGAGAAATATAACTTCATTGTGATGAGGTCTTTTGGGAAAGGCTAAAGCAAAGCTATGAACGTTTATGCTCAAAGTGGACACAATACTTACTTTAAATATGGTTGAAAATAAATAATAAATAATGAAATTGTAGCATGACATTTTAAAATATTGTTGTTGAGAGAATCCAATCCAAATACTTTATAAAAAGTATCCATGTAACACTTAGTAAAGAAATGGCACATAAATAAATTGAAATCACATATAGAAGAGAACGATTAGGAGGATATAATGATTAAAAAATGTTTAAAAATATTGATAGTTAGTGTATATATCAACAATATGCAACTTTATGTTCGGTAGTTCAATCATAAAAACTCTGAACTAAGTATGTTCGAGTTTGAAACTGAATCACTTAGAAAATTTTCTAGAAAGTATATGTGTAATAATTCAAGTCCATCGTTAGCAAATATTGTCTGCTTTAGCTCGTTAAGTTTCGTCGTCAGCCTCACAATTTTAAAACACATATACTATGAAGATGGTCTAGTCCTACTTCAATCAGTATCTCACACCATCCAGTGACTAGTGAGAGTAAGGCTAGAGCGGACAATATCTGCTAACAGTAGGCTTAGACGGTTACAATATGAGTGAAGTGAAAATATAGTAAAAAAAATACGTGTGTCCGAATCCTATGCATGAAACGTTACATTAGATCTCGTAATTGAATTCACAACACCAAAGAGGATGAAATTAAACATGGTTTTTGTCACAAATGATAATATTTTAAGGGAGATTGCTATAATTAATTACACGATCGATTTCTAGGTTTCGTCGTAAACCTAATTGGTGTAAAGAAGGAAAAAAAACAATAAAAGGTAGAACAAAGAAGAAATAGGTCATTGAAGAGAAGAAAATAAGAAAGTAAGAGGTCAAAGGGTAGTAGTAGAAGAAGAGGGTGGAGAGGAGAGGTGCAAATAAGTGGAATTAGGGCAACTACCATGTGAATGAAATATTGGATCATTGCAACACTTCGTGATAGGGCTCTCGTGGCTGTGAATTCCTTCGTATGTCGTTATAACATAGCTTGAATCTTCTCTGTCTCTTTCTACTCTCTTCTTCACTCTACACCCACTACTCAAGCATTTGTAGTAATTTCTAGATAAATTAGATAAAACAATGGTTATCATTTCAAATATCACTGGTTCAATTATATCTATCGTAATATTCAATTCATATTCTTTTTACCTCCCGAGATGCAAAAGTAAGACCGTACCTGAGTTAAGTTGAGTTAGAATTTTTTTTTTCAACTAACTCGAAATTTCAAGTTTGTTGGATTTGTGACTCGAGTAACCCAAAGAGAGTTCACAACTCAATCTAACCCAACCCAATTCTCTGTCAGGGTTCACAGATCATAAAAACATGTCTATGTTGTAACGGTTAGATGAAAGTGTCCCACATTGGTTAAGTTAGAGAATGGTCATGAGTTTATAATTTAAGAATATACTCTCCATACTCTCTATTGGTATGAGACCTTTTGGGAACCCTAAAACAAAGCCATGAGAGCTTATGCTTGATAGACAATATCATACCATTGTGGAGAGTAAGTTCAAAGTAGACAATATCATACCATTGTGGAGAGTCGTGTTCGTCTAACAGTAACCTTATTTCTAGGTTGGTCGGGTTGACAAAACCAAAAAAATGTCATGCAAACCAACCCGTTTTTCACAAATTTAACTCAATCCAAACCGGAAAAAAAAAAATCGAACTAAATCTAACCTAAATTAAGTTGAATAGTTTAAGTTTGGTCTAATTCTCAGATCATATAAACATCCATATGAAGAAAAAAAAAAATAAGAATTTAAACATCTCTACTCTATCTCCTAATTAATCGAACTGTTTTTATATAAATGTTAATTTTTGAAAATATTTTCATAATAAATAAATAAACATATATGAATATTTACCTTGGATTAGGGTTATTTTTTATAGATTTTTTGCCATACTTTCTCCATTTGAAGCCATCCTGCAAGATCTCCAACTCAGACTTTGTTCTAAACGCAACCTTATGGCACCCACCACCTCTTCCATTTTGTTCTCTCTTCACATCCCTTCTCTCACGCCACTCATCTCTGCAAAAAAAACACATTAATTATTTTAACAAAAATAAATTAATTCATCAACTATATATAATAAGCTCTTTCACTTGCATGCTATTCTTATCCATTCTCGACGTTGCTTCTTCCATGGATCTACTCTGGCCCCCGATTGTCGCCTCTGGCAACACCGCGGGCTCGGGTTCGAGCCAGAAATCGGGTAGCGGGTAACCCGAGAAATCGAGGAGATCCATGAATGAGGAGGACAAGTCTTCAAACTGGGTAGGGTTTTGAAGGGAGTTCATGGCCATGAAAAGTAAATGGTTTGAAGAAGAGGAACATGGGGGAGCAACTGCTTAATTAAACATTATATAAACTTTTTTTTTTTTTTTTTTTGTAATCTCCTTTTCAGCTGGCTCTTTCCTACTCACCTTCCTGCTGCCTGCCGGGAAAATTTCTCCTTTCTTCATACAGGCATTATTCTAGGGGTGACGTCATTTTAATGCAATAAAAAAAAAATTCTAATTTTTTTAAAATAAATTAAATTGAAATATATAAATATGTGGACTAAACACGTTATTGTAATCTATATTCCATGAATTATGTAATATAAACTTTTAATTTATCTATTATTTGAAATATTAGGCATTATTATTGTTAAATTGTAATTAATTTAGTATTAATTTACCAAACACTTTCATCCTTTTTTTTAATTTTTAAGATTGCAATTTACCAACTAATAATTTATCTCTTATTACAATTTTTTTTTAATAAAATTAAAAGTAAGTTTATATATTTAAATAAGAATGGTCGAGAAAATGTTAGAAGGAAAATGTGTTTATTTTTAGTTTAATAACATGTAAGATAATAATTAAATCTTTTTGATCTAAATATAAAAAATGTCCCGTAAATAATTAAGCAAAAAATAAAATTTAGTGGATATAATTTTAAAAAATGTCGTTTTGCATTCAATTATGAAAGTTTGAATGTGACAAAATATATATCTATTAAAATAAATAGAAATTAAATGTTGAAATGATTAATAAATATTGTTGATAATGTTTATGGGTGGTGATGTGAATAAAATTCAAATTGAATTAGAATTTTTCGTTTATTAAGGATACTATAATATATAGTTTTTTTTTCTTTCCTTTTTTACAAATTATTCTCATTCTTATTACGAAATAAATTTAATTTTGAGAAATTAAATTAAATTAACATATAAAATTTTACCAGATTTTACAAATTTCAATAATTATTTAGATAAAAAAAACGCATAAAAAAAATCATCTAGAAGGTAATTTGATGAAATTAAAAATTTAATATAAACATGGATAGAACTTTTGTAAATTAGGAAATTTTAATTATTATCATAAAATTTATAATAATTTCGGGATAAATTCAATGTATTTTTTTAATACAAGTGGGTGAATTGATATTAAAGAGAGAAACAAAAAAAAAAAAAAAAAAAAAAAAAAAAAAAAAAAAAAAAAAAAAAAAAGGATGGGTTGACTGGTTGACTAACTATGTGAATGGAAGACTTTAAGAAGACTTGAACAAAGCGGTCAGGTTAAATGAACACGAAAACATCGCATCTTTTAATCACCCACCCTATTACGTGCTCTAATTTTAGCATATAATCTAAAGTTTTAAATAATAATTTCTTTTATGCAATTCGAGTTATCAACATTTATTTAGTTTTGATTAACCTGATTATCAACCTTAACTTACTTTTACGATTATTATTAAATCAATAATAATTAAAATTACTTCGATCCAATTTAACCTAACTTATTTATCAGTTAGATTTCATACCAACCATCATTCGAAAGATTGTTTAAGTCATATTTAGATCAACTAGTTAGCCCGGTTTAACTGACTTATTATTTTATATTATTATATTTTATATACTAGAAAAAATAAAATCATTTAGAAAACATATTTTCAATTTAATTTAAATTTTTTAAAAGTGTTCAATGCTAATTAAGCATTTTAAAAATAAAATATTAAATGAAATATTATCTTATCAATAACTTTTATTAAATAAAAATAATAAAAATATCAAAATTTTAAAATAAATTAAAAATATAGAAATTCAATAAAATTAATAGCATTTAATTAAATATATATATTTATATTTAAAATAATTTTTAAATGAGTTAATCAATTCTGCTAACCCAAATTAATTATGTAAAACCGAAGGTTGGGCATGAGGTTTGCAATTGAAGGTTGGATCGGTTTGGTCCAAGTCCAAATTGTGTCGCTCGCTGGGTTTGAATTCGGCATTGGTCGGACCGGTTGGACTCGGCCCAACTATGAAGGTAAATCATAACGAAAATAGTGTATTGACCGCACGATCCCAATTGACAAACATTCCCGAGCAGTTAAAGGCGGCGATACGCTAATTGATCGGTCGCCGCTCCCGTTCGCCGGTTGAATCACGGCATCACAACGGTCTTTCTCCTATGGCGTTCTCTTCGGTTCCCATGAAATGCCCTTCTGTTCTTCATCTGCGAGTTCTTCCTAAAAGTTCTGCAAAGCGAAGTTCAATTTCCTTTCCATATTTACCTACGAAAATTAGCCATAGGAATTCCTTATCAATTCGATCGGTTTCAGTCCTTGGTACGCCTCTTCTTCGAATTTCCCTCTGTTTTCCTGCTTTATTTTTGGATATTATACTAAACTGCAATATCGTAGTTCATGGATGCATTGTCTATGTAAGAATTAGTCTGAATTTATTCTGTTTGGATTGGATTTGAAGCATGAAATTGTGAAGAATTTCAGATTCGAGATACTTTTTTCTTATTAGTTAAACATATGATTCAGGTATTGATTGCTTGGATTTGAAATTGTTAGCTGGTGTAAGCTTTATATTGAAATTGAGTAGCAGAATATTTGGGATTTTTCTTATTGATTTACATGGAAAATAACTTTTTGTTACTTGGAACGATTACCTGTTTGCGGGTTATAGTTCGAGATCCTGTTGGTTGATATACAAATCACAAATTATGTCTTTAATTTGTTATAATGCCTGAATGATCAGAATGGATTGATCTTAATGTGCATTATTTCTCGTAGTTGTTAGCATTAATCGTTTCTTCTTTTTAGACATCTTCAGATGCAATATTATTTGTGATTTTCTTTTGGGCTTACTACATCAAAAGATAAAACCTATTAAATCTTGCATTACAGTTTCTGCATATGAAATATAATGATTATATTATGTCTTATGATCAAAGTTTACCCTTCCATCTTATTTTCTTAACATGAAAATTGTGATTGAACAGCTGCTCCAGCGTCTGAGGGTATAGCTCCGGCTATCTCATTAACAGATAATGCACTGAAACACTTTAACAAAATGAGAACTGAACGTAATGAAGACTTGTGCTTAAGAATTGGTGTCAGACAGGGTGGATGCTCTGGTATGTCCTACACAATGGAGTTTGAGAATAGGGCAAATGCTCGACCTGATGACTCAATTATAGAATATAATGGTTTTGTGATTGGTAAGAGTTATAGCTTCACTGTTTTCACGGAATTTCTATTGATGGGTATTTCTTGAGCCATATGTCATAAATTTGAGGAACTTTATATTAGAAACCACGACTTTCTACAATGATATGATATTGTCCACTTTGAGCATTGGCTCTAATGACTTTGCTTTTGGTTTCCCCCAAAAGGCCTCATACCAATAAAGATGTATTCCTTACTTATGAACCCATGATCATCCCCTAAATTAGCCAATGTGGGATACCCACCCAACAATCCTCAACAATTCTCTCATCGAACAAAGTACACCATAGAGCCTCCCCTGAGACCTATGGAGCTTTCGAACAGTCTCCCCTTAGTCTAGACTCAACTTTTTTCTCTCGAGCCCTTGAACAAAATACACTCTTTATTCGACACTTGAGTCACTTTTGACTGCACCTTCAAGCCTCACAACTTTTTGTTCGACATTTGAGAATTCTATTGACATGACTAAGTTAAGGGCATGACTCTGATACCATGTTAAGAACCACGACTCTCCACAATGATATGATATTGTCCACTTTGAGCATAAACTCTCATGGTTTTGTTTTTGATTTCCTCGAAAGGCCTCGTACCAATGGAGATATATTTCTTACTTATAAATCCATGATATCCCCTTAATTAGCCAATGTAGGACTCCCTCCCAACAATCTTCGACACTTTATTTGTAGTTCATAATTCATCTCTTAGACTCTGAAGCGAGTTGAATTATTAGATATCAGTAATTTCTTATGCTTCTAAGATGAATGTTGCGCAACTGTTGTCAAACATATTGTTCTTTTGTGCATACTGTTTGACATAAACTTGTATGTTGTTTCATTCCTTGCTAATTGCTCTCTGCTCTATGGATGAAGGAACTTATGCATGTTTTAGTGAACTACGAACGTGTCGTTTTGTCTACTTCATTTTTCGATATGCTCTTTTGTGCTGTAGCCTCCTGTTCTCATTTGCTGTGTAGCTTGAGCTTCTGATACAAGCTTCCCTTTCTCCTTCTCCTTGTTTTGTAGTATGTGATCCCAAGAGCCTACTGTTCTTGTTTGGAATGCAATTGGACTACAGCGACGCACTTATCGGTGGGGGTTTCTCGTTCAAGAACCCGAATGCTACACAAACTTGTGGTTGTGGAAAATCATTTGCTGCAGAAATGTAGAATCATCATTTGTATATATGAATGGTTCAACAGGAACTTGATAGTTCTATGTTAAAGAAAACTTTGTTTTACTATTGATCCTAATAGTATACCTTCCATTACGAGTCTTCCATTAGCTCTTCATGCTTAGTTTGAACTTATTACGGGCTATTTTCACTTGATACTTCATGCTCATCTTTTGATAGAGAGTCAGTTCTTTCTGATACGATAAATGTGGAGATGTAGATTTGAACGTTAATTATCAATTAGTTATGCTTGAGTTGGTCAACGGAAGTTGGACTTTGAATTTAAAAACGTGTTGGAAGAAATTTTTAGTTTACCGTTTACCGTTTACACAATTTATCTTGTAAATTTAAGTTTGTTTGCTTATGAATTACATGAATAAGTAATCATATCGAAATCATCTAAATCATACACTTATTTTTGAAGCTATAATTTACTAATATTTATATTTTATTGATTTGATTCATACAACGTGCTTTATATTTATATTGTCAATTATTTTTTATTTTTATTTTTATTTTTAGATAAGATTTAAATCTTTTAGGTTTAATTTTTCACTTACGTTAAAATTGCAATTTGACCCACTAATTCGATAAAACTTTTTTTTAAAATAAAAAAATCGATATTCAAATGGGAAATGGAAAATGAAAAAAGAAAAAGAAAAAAGGGGGGAGGTGAAGGTGCAGGTTTGTTGAGGTGCACTGGCTTTCGATCATGACCATCCATTTGGAAAATTAATGTAAGACAATCCAACGGTGGGGATACGAAGTAGACCGACGAATGAGGAGCAGGCTCCATCAAACCATTTCTAGCAGAGCTCCCCCTCCGCTTCGCATAGACTGCCTCCTTCATACTCCTAATATATCCGACTTCCAATCCTCAAACGATTCAACCAAGCATCAGAAGAAGGGCGCAATCTGAGCTACCATCATGGCTTTCTCTTCTCGTCTCTTGTCCAAATCCAAGCAGGTCTGCTCATTTCCTTCCTGGATCGGCCCCGTTTACCCTACTTTCCGTTCTCCCTGATTATTTTTCTTTAAATGAACTTTTATGGATTGATATGCGTGTGGCTTTTGTCTTTTTTTTTTTATTGATTTTATTTTTGTTTAATTTTTGTTTACGTTCTTTTGTTTTCTATTTGGGAATGGAGCTGATTATTAGCAATACTCGTATGGATCCTGGAAATGGTGAAATGTTTATCAATTTCTCCCTCCCTCTAGTTCAAATTTTCTTTATTGGCTCGTGTAATTTTCTACATTTTGAAGGTGTCGGATTTTTTAACCGTTTATTTAGGATCTGTGATTTTAGGGTTTCTTTGGATGATGTAAAGTATGCAGGTTGCTGTGGGTTTTTTCAAACATTAAAATGCTGGCCGTATAGTTTGGACATTGTAATTCTGTGCTTGTAGGGCAAATGTTTTTTTTTTTTTAATTCTTATTTATCTTGCTTAGAAGCGTAATGATTATTGAATCAGCTGCTCAACTTGTGTTTTTTGCGCCTCTTTGATGTTACAGGTGCTTGGCAGTCAAAGTATCTTACATCAGGGGTATGCCATTCCTGTTTGTCACTTCGCAAAAGAGGCTGCTGAGCCTGCTCTGAAGGGAGATGGTGAGGCAAAATACTCTCAATTAGTGAGAAATAGGGAGAAAAAGAGAGAGAGAGAGAGAGAGAGAGAGCTATGAAGTTTGGTTTATGTCAATCACATAGTTATAGTTAAGTCTTTAAGGAATCACACATAAAAATTACGTGAGAATTGCATTAGATGTGTACATAAAGGCTATAAAGCTACATGAGTGGTGCATTAACTTCTCTAAATGAACAACGATCATAATTTTCTGTGATTTCGTTGATAATGTTTTTTTGAATTTTTTTATGTGGGTGCCAAAGAAATGCTGAAGAACATATTTCTGGAAGTGAAAAAGAAATTTGAGACAGCAATTGATGTTTTCCGAAAAGAGAAGATCACTATTGATCCAGAGGATCCTGCTGCTGTAGCTCAATACGCAAAGGTCATGAAACAGGCCAGAGAGAAGTGAGTGTTTTTGAATGATTACTACATTTTATAGTTGTGAAATTTGAGTGTTTTTGCTGAAGAACATACTTGTGGATTGACTCCCTATATCTTTTGCTGTGCAATTAACTGGTGCAGAGAGGTAGCCTGGGTCATTTTATCTTTTTAAGCATATTAATCAAATACCCCTGCCAATATTAGCTTCTTTTATTGTTTGTTTTTAGTTGCTTCTTTTGAGGGTCCTTGTACTCCAGTACACTTTGCTTGGTGAAATTCTGCCACTGCATTCTGAAACAATTTTGTTGTAGTTGAATTAAAGGAAGCATTTGGAGAGTAATGGTGTGATAATCATGAATATTCAAAGACACGTTTTGGTGATCATATTTTTTATATGTGCTCAATAAACTGGAAATGGAGTTACATTACTCAAGGGGGGATCACTAATGTCAATTTTTGTTCCACTTACATTGTACCTTTTTCTAGAAAAATAGCTACAAAAAATTATACACAGTTCTCATTTATTTTTGTGTTCCATGCTAGCATTTATGAGCCAGCCTTTTATCGGCCTTCATGGAAGTTTATTTATTTATTTTTATCACGTGACAATGGAACATGTGTTCATATCAGTACACGCATAATGGTGAATTTATATTATAAAAATATGTGCATATGAATTCTGTATGAGTTACAATTTTAACCCTCTTTTTTTTCCTCACAGGGCAGATTTATTCTCAGAATCAGAGCGAATCAAATACACCATTCAGTCACGAACCCAAGACATCCCCGATGCAAGAACATACTTGCTGACATTGAAGGATATCCGGATTAAGTATGCTCCTCTTTCATGGACTTTGATTTCTTGTCAACACGAGAAATGCACTGTCTAAATTTCTCTCCTTAGCTTGTTTGTTAACAGTTGTGGTGTCATGAATATTTGGGTTTCAAGGGATTGCAAGATGGACTAGACTTGGAGACCTACTTTTACTAACACGACTTGCAATTCATCAAGTATTAAGCTAAGTTGGCACAGGGATGATTGGCTGACATGGTTAATGTTTACTGAATAAACTCGTGTCCATCTAACTCGAGCTATATTTTGAGCCTTGAACTAAACTTTAGTTTTTCTTTTCTTTTTTGTTTTTTTCACTTTGCATGTCAACGTTTTCAGATTTTTTGGCATTCTTTCCTCCATATAGTCCAATCTGAATATTTTTCTCCAAATGTTTGTTGTATGGTTCTGGTATGGATTTGGGATAGTATGATATTATATTTTGGAGGTATTTAATGCCCATGCATTCATTTTTATCTTTGAAACTTGAGACGTTGATCTTATGTCTATTGCCAAGTGCATGACTTTGTTGTTTGTTTCTTGATCATATTCCTTCGCATTTTTCAGGAGAGGTCTTAATGATGAGCTTGGTGCAGAAGCTATGATGTTTGATGCACTGGAAAAGATTGAGAAAGAATTGAAGAAACCTCTCATGAGGAATGACAAGAAAGGAATGTCTCTTCTTATGGCTGAGTTTGACAAAATCAATCAAAAGTACAATTCTAACTTCTTATACTTTTTTGTTTATTTTGGCCCAATTCCAAAAGATTGAGTGGTTTATACACACACACACACACACAAGATTGCCATCAAGAACAAAATGTCTTGTCAGAAAATAGAAGCCCTCACGCTCCCCTTTTGGATGAAGGACATGTTCACCATCCTTCTATTTCTGTTTTCGTGGAAGATACACTACAGATGTGAACATTATGGAGAACTATCGTAAGATAGACCAGTGAATTAAATACTAATTGATGAACTGAAAAAAAAAAACGTAGTAAATACAAAATTTAGTGTAGAATAAGATTCATTTTTATTTTTTCTGCATTGTGTGTCTATTTGGTGGCAGAGCCGGTTGCACCTATTAGTGAAGCTAAGGTACCCAACTATTAGATTTATTTTCTTATTTGACTTGGACTCTAGCTTTTACCAATGTAAATTTCTGAAGGAGCTTGGGATAGTTGCTAGCTATCCTACATACATACAGTTGAACAATCTTTCCATAAGGATAAAAGATATACACTATTGAAGACTTCATTTCAACATTTTTGGATCAGGATTGGGATACGGAGGGAGGATCTGCCCAAGTACGAAGAGCAGTTGGAACTTAAAATTTCCAAGGCACAATTGGAAGACCTGAAGAAAGATGCTCTTGAGGCAATGGAAACTCAAAAGAAGCGGTATGTAGTTTGTGGTTTGTGATAATTATTATGCTGCAAAAAAGTTGATTCTTAGTTGATAGCATAGTTTCCAGCAGACGTTTCTGTGCTGCCTTCTTTTTTGTAGTTTGAATGAATGACTGTTTTCAGTCGCATTGATTATGATTGGCCAGATAGATTTTATTGATAGGGCTAAAAAAAATCGTTCTATTTATGCATAATCCGACTTGCATATGGTTGCCATTATTTTAGATCTGTAGGTTCTTATCGAATCTTTTATTGAAACTCTTTGCAACTTCCTCTCTTTGCTTTCAGTGAGGAGTTTAAAGACGAGGCAATGGTGGATACAAAGTCGTTAGACGTGAGAAACTTCCTGTAGATTTGCATATCGCTTTCCATATGTTCTCTGGTTGAGAAAAAGCTGTCAACCGAAACTGATTCGGCTGTTTTTGAACACCGGGATACTTTAGCTTTAATAAGAGAAGCACCTCTGGTATTGGGAGTGCATCATTTGGCTGATGTTACATTGTCAGGTGATAACTGGATGGATATTGTCCCAAAACTTGCATTCAATCCCGTTTCCCAATCACAACTAAGTTTCATATTTTTTTTCTCTTTTTCTTCTGAATGTGTTTTTAGTGTTTGGTGTAGCTTGTGCGCCAGAATTGTTTGATCTTATAATATTCAGTTGTCCTGAAACTGTAAGATTTTTTATCTTATGATATTTACAATATTTAGTTGTCGAGGAAGTGACGTTTATGGATCAATTTTCTTTTCTTTTTCCAAGTACTCTTCCAATATTGGAAATTAATCATCTTCCTCAAGAAAAATGTACTTTAACTAATAAAAAGTTCGTTCATGTTGTGGTGCTAGTTTTTCCCGATCGAAGAAGACAACCTCGTTAATTTAGTTGGAATCCTCGTTAATATGATAGGTCTCAAGTAAAAAAAGCATAGCTCGTTGGGCAGTCCTACGATGACAAATGCCTTGCCTCTTTTCTTCAAGATTCAACCTTTTGAAACTCATTAACTTGCCTATTTTAAAATGCAAATGAACAGTAATAGGGGGAAAGACCCCTAAAAGTTACATTTAAGGATGGAATAGTTTACATAATAAGAGTCAACATCCTTCCTGTAATTTCAACCTAAACTAATTAGGGAACAAAATCTAAGGCCAATTAGCCATACAAGCCTCTTTCTCGTTTTTTCCTATATTTTCAACCTAAACAATAAATAAAGGAACAAAATCTAAGGCCAATTAGCCATTACTACAAGCCTCTTCTCGTCTTTTCCTAGCCTACTTCTGTCAAGGTTACTGCTGCTGCTGTTGCTCTTCTTTTTAAGCCTTCTTCTTTTTATTTGATTTGAAACCATCTTCTTTACTTCGTTTTCTACTGCTCTGCTCTTTTTCTTTCTTCTTCACTTGCTTCTCTGCCTTCGTTTTATTGGATTTTACACTTACAAATCCGCCAGAGGGAATCTTTCCACCACTTGCCAAAGCACCATCAAAATCAACCTCTCCGTCCACAATGGCATATTGTTGCAGCATCCCAACATCTAACGACCCCTCATTCTTCATTTTCATTTTCTCCTGCATTTCCATTCCAGCAAAGAGTTGATTTAAAAGATAAGCGTGTGTGCGCGCGCCATCTGCATCATAATATGAAGCATGAAGCGTACCTCAACTTGTTTTGCGCCTTCCTTGAGATCATCATCGACAGTGATCTCATGGGGTTCCAGTGGAATCTGCAGTAAAATCATGCATTTGTAGCAATAAATATATCCCCATTCTACTTAAAATCTTGCAACTTTGTAGTAAAATTATTTGATAGGCTCAAATTTGCGTAAGCACAGTAAGAATGAATTCCCAAAGATACTAAAATTTTACCTCTCTCATACGTGGCATGGTCGATTCGATCTCCTTAGATGCAATTCCATTGAGATACTTGTGAAACTTTTTCATGACTTTGATAAAAAGTGACAGTATCTGTTGCCTCTCCAACTTCATTTGTCCCTGTAAGTAATACGATTTCCAAAAATTGATACACAACATTTAACAATTAGAATGCCCCCCCCCCCCCNCCCCCCCCCCCCCCCCCCCCCCATCACCACACAAAAGAAAACAGGATAAGCAGCAACTACTTGGCAACTAGTACAAAAAGTAATTAACAGTGGACCAAATTACACAGATTGATGAAGTTTGTGGTAAAAAAAAGACTTAAAACAGTCATAAAAAAGGCTTTGAAACCAGACCTCAATATGAGTAACATTCCGTAACTGCAGTCCAGTACAGAGCAATACAGATGCCTGTGTGTACGACAAAGTAACTGGAAGTTTCTCCATGAAATACAATTGTGCAAGTAATGGAACAAGATCTAGTATCTGTAAGTCAACAGAAAAAGAATATTAAATCGATAAATTGGGCTATGTCTTCTTAAGGATTGGTATGCAAACAATAAATTGCAGATAAAAAACCTCATGAACTTTCTACGATATGATAAAGTTTAATAGGTAGATTGAGAAACTCCCACTGGTAGGGGGTGAAGAAGATATGAAGTGAAGAATATGAAAAAGCTTTTTTAGTTTCATTTGATTGAAGCAGCCATAAAATTCATTTCCATTTTAGAAGTGTACATAAATTCAATGCCTACCTTTTTGATAAATCTGTAGGAATTTTGGAACCCACATATACATATACAAGAGAGATGGGGAATGGAAGTCTTACCAAGTGGAAATCAACAAGATTGTCTGCATAGGCTTCCAATCGCTTCATATCATGTGCTGACATAAGATATCTGATTGCATTTAAAAATTCTTCGATAGTATCCTCCGAAGGATCTAGTTCCGTAAAGTTGATTTTTGGATCCAAGACACTGGGGGATTTTAAGTCGAGTTATCAATTGAAGAAGAAAAATGCATACTTAGTAGTTAATAATTAAACATACTCACCTCATTGCTAGCTTATATTCCATTCCATGAAAGCTAAAACCCAAGAGTCTAATAAACCTTAACCTGAAATCTGTGGGTCATAAACGTAGAGTCAAATACCACAGATTGCACAGGGAAATAATTAAATGTAAAAACCTCACCTTGATAAAATGGACCGAAAAATCCCAACTGTGAAGATTCATTAGCTTCAATTTCATCATTGTTCAAAGGCTTTAAGACCATACAGGTATGCTCACCCGTCACAGTGCTCTTAATACATGAAAAGAAACGGGAAAATATTAGATAGGAAAAAAACATTCTTTACCTTCTTTTTTCATGTAAAATCAGCAAATAGAACCGTTAACAATTTTCAAACAGCGTAAAATCTAGAATCCAACTCAACTGGAATCTGGCCAATGTAGAATGGGGCAAATTTATGTCTCCTCCAAAAGCGAAAAAGATCCAAAGTGAGTCCAAAGGAAACACCAAGGTAGTGAAGCTTCTCAGGTCGTCTTTCACGAAGAGATACCAGCAGGGGAGGAAGATCAGTTCTAGGCTTTATGGTTTCTTCTAATAATGAAACCTACGTGTATGAATCAAAGATAAGGCCAAAACTGTCACAGTAAACCAATTTGCAGAACTGTAAAAGGCGCCAGTAAATGGTAATGATCTTGTATAACAGGTTGATACAATAATATTGAATATTGAATCTAGATAAAAATAAAAACAGACCAACTGCTGGCTTTCACGCCCATATTGCAATTAACTGGTGAAAATACACAAGTATTATTTTAGATATTTCTTATTAAGTAAATGACGCAAACGTCAACGATAACAGCGCAATGCATCTTGCTAAATTTTCTATGCCAACATGAACAAATAGGGAGAGAGATTATTGTTCTTCTGTCGTTAAAATGAGTCATTCCAAATGACATTTTTTGTAATAGCATTTTTTCTGGATAAGAAAAAGAACATCCATCATCAGAGAGAAAGATACAATAGGATAGCGGGAGTAAGGGATCAACCCCCACATAAAGAGCAAGGAGTTTATGAAATTTATTATTAGTATTCATTGGATTATCGTGTGTAATCATTCATCTCTCGTAAAGGTCAATGGTTTCTCTTCCAATACCTCCTCCCCCTTTCTATTCCCTAGTGAGTTTGATAAGTACTCCACGTCTTATTAAAATAATGATAACAATGAATATTTCCAATAATAATAATAATAAAAATAACAATGAGAAGGTACATTGTGCAACTTCAATTCTAAGACATCCACAAGTGAAGTGATTTCTTTCATCTGTAATCCACAACCTCAATTCTAAGACATCCAAAAGTGCTCGTGCATATTTACAAAAATATGCTTGTTTCCAGTTGTAGATATTTTTTATGATAAACTGAACTTTCATTGAGAACAAATGAAAGAACAAAGGGCACACAAAAATAAAGCCCATAAAAAAAGATTCAAGCTACAACAAAAAAAAAAAAAAAAAAAAAAAAAAAAAAAAAAAAAAAAAAAAAAAAAAGAATCTAACAAGGTATCAAATGTTGTTATTCCTCGAACATTAATAATTTGTGAACACTTCTGTACGTGAATCAATTTCTTTTAGTATAGGTGCGCCAATTATCGAAGGTATCATTGTTATTGTCAAGATCAAGGTTTAATATCAGAATAAGCAAGTTATCCTGTGCATAAATCTAAAGCATGAAAGAGAGTTCAAGTGTGAAGGAACATATAACCATGACAGCTTCCTAACGAATTTTAATAAAGAATATATAACTCATTTCAGCTTTTGTCATGAGAAAACTTGCTCTATATTGATACTGGGGGCCTGCATTACTATCTCTATTGAATTGCTTAATCTAAAATTGCTCTGAATTACACATGGCTTTGTGGAGTAGTTTAATACTTACCACGTTAAAAACTCTGTACACTCAACCCTTTGGTTATTTCTCATTTAATCATGTGGAACTTTTAGACCTCTAGGTTTTCTTGTTACCTTCACAAATTAGAAGCTCAAGCGTCTAATTAAATATAAAGAAGGCATAAAATAAATAGTGTTTCAACATAAAAAGAAAGCCTCTCTAAACTTTAATTTTACTTAATATGCTCGAGAAAGAGAGAATTTATAATTATGTGACCTTTTCTGCAGCTTCAGTGACTCTAACATGAGCCTGAACGTCCCCATCTGATATTTCAGCTTCAGTAATAGGAGCAAACTGACCTTCAAAGTACCTGGTACATGGTGCATCGAAAGATTTTAGTAATGGAAAAGAGGAAAAATGAGTACGTACCACCTAAAAACATGTGATACCTTCTTAATATAGTGAACTTGAGGTAGTTTGGTAGTTTCCTTAGTTCAATATTTCATTCGTAATTGGATTTTAGTTAATTGATTACTCTATGAATTGAAGCATTAAGCTCCTGAATGAAATGGGGACTTTGGGACAACTTCATTGAATATACTTTTTTCTGTGAGAACTCTTCAACAGAAGCTGGTAGGTTAAATTATTTTCCTAGTGTTGCTATATTTTATAGGAGAATTATAAGAACTTTAGATCTATTGTTTCTTCTTTCTTTCTTTTTTTTTTTATTGTTTTAAAAACAGATTTTATTCAAATAAATAGAAGTATTAAAGCAGGAGCATAAGAAAAGAGCATCAAAAGCACACAAAACACAACAAAATTTACAGTATGAGATTTCAATCATTCGACATGATTCAAATCAAGCATCAAATAAGTGAAGCAAAATGTCCTCTTAATAATCACGCTTT